AAAATCAAACATATGATCATACTTTAAGAAGAATACTATGTTTTTGTCCTACCCTAAGTAATTTCCGCTGTATAATACGGAGTATGATAAGAAACAAACAAACAAACAAACAAATAAATAAATAAATAAATAAATAAATAAATAAATAAATAAATAAATGTAATTCATATAGCAATACAAAGTTCTACAAGAATAAATGAAGCATAAGAATCCAAATTTATTTTTATTAAAAAAAACTCAAAATTTCAAGAATGCTCAAGAATTTTGGTCACTTTATTAATGAGTAAGAACATTAATCGTTACACAACCGTTACACTCATTGCTGCATGTGGTACAAGCATAGTTACAATCGAGTTTATCTTCTTAATAATTGTTTTCTTTTCATTTCTATCTTGTAAAATTTTGTATACTTATTTACGGTTATATATTTATTAACTTAAAATTATATTTTTATGTGTTAGCGATTTAACGATGAAAGAAAGTAATAGTTAAAATATTTATTTTCTTAATAGTTAAGTGACGACGTACCAGAATTGCACTGATATAATAATATCGATTCTTATCAGTTCTTCTAGAAACTTCTAGAATCGAACCAATATGAGATTAACGAATTGAGGGGGAATCGAGGGGGGTGGGGTGGGGCACGCTGATGAAGAAAAAGAACGGAAGGAGAGAAGTGCGGCGAGCTGGACTGAAGAAGAAGAAAGATCGAAGGGGAAGAAGTGACTTAGCTAAAGAAGATGAGAGTTGGGGGGAGGGGAGGGATGGGGTGGGACGGGATGAAGAATCGATATGAGAAAAGTCCACGGAAATCTTTAGTTAGGAGAAGAGACAATTGAGAAGAATTAATGTACTAAAAATGAGTTAAAAGTTCACGAGAATCCACGATTTTAGAAATCAATAAGAATGAACGGAACTTTGAATATTCCTAGAGTTTTATAGACTTTTAAAAGTCTACATTGAATACACCTAGACTTTTATAGACTTTTAAAAGTCCACATTGAATACACCTAAACTTTTAAAATCCATGAATTTTTAAAATTTTACCACTAAATCCTAATACAATACACCTCCTTTAGTCTGTTTTGAGCGTGAGAGTTTCGAGAATTATATGACTATTCTAATTGTGAAACCCTCGAGTATTTCGACCTACACATCCTATATTTATAGGAGTGTGGCTGAACATCCTAATTCCATTAGGATGGGTCGAATAGGTCAAATTTAATGGCTCCTAATTAATTACATATGTCCACTAATTAAATTCTAATTAAACAAAGATAAATCTAATTAAATTGAACACAATAAAATATATCCTAACAAGTAGTTATAGTAGTAACTTAATCATATTAATTTATTTGAAATAGTTACATACGACTAAAATAAAGATTATTTATAAATATGTGTCTTTCTAAGTGTACGTAGTAGCTATAGTAGTAACTTAATCATATTAATTTGTTTTCAAATTTTTACACTTAAGTGATTATGAGATTATATTTTAGTACTATTAGTCATTTTTTTTATAAATAAGTTTAATTTAGTAAACTTTTTGTAAAAAAGTAAAATAATATTTACATATAATACCTTTTTAAGTTAGTCTCTTTGTGCCAAAATGATTTCAAGGTCAGTTTTTTATAAAAAGGTTTCGCTTTATCTGCATTTTTAACATATCAACTCTTTGTGATATTCTAATTTGAATTTTGCAATATCATAGAAATTTTCAAATAAATAAATTTTAATTATTGAAACTAATATATAACTATCGTAAGGATGATTTTACTCTACCGTCAATCAACTTTAATATCCACAAATTGAAACTTAATTCAGGACGGCGGAAGTATGCAGTATGCTCATACTACATATACAATCTGTCTTCCTCCTTATTTTTTAAAAGTTTTAAACTGATTTCAAAATTCAAACCTATAGGTACATAAAGAAAGTAAACTAAAATAGGTTAGTTTACTTTAATTATGTTTAGTTACGTTCATGAATATGGTTACTAATTACATAATTTGTAAAATATCGTGCACTATCAATAATAATAATAGTTCGCTTATGTAGATCAAAATAATTTATACCGAGTATATAAAGATGTGTGACACTTAGCTTGCTAAAAATAAAGGCATAACTAATTTGGTTTCTATATATACCATATTTGACATGACATATTCACATGTTACATAAATTTACCATATTTGATATTTGTATGAATACACTACATAACGTAATATTCGATTCAAATAGAATAATCTCATATGCACTATTCTAAAAATATACTTGTATTATACACACATTTCTTGGACTACAACCATTCACAAGTTATAGAAAAACAAATGTAACTTAGTAATTTGGTTATCATTCTCACAAGATTTATGTAGCTAAACAAGATAAAAATTATTTAAAAATAGCATATGCGGGTGCTCATTGGTTAAATACTTTACCATCAAATTTAATTAATAAACTTTCATCAAATTGTTTGTAATCAAATAACCTTTTCTTTCGTTTAGTACCACTTAAACATTTAATCTATGAATGACGATTTTAGAGCTCTTTTATTATAAAAAACTAACTTAGTATTTTTTATATTGTTTATAGTACTGTTAAACAGTGGTACTTAATATCATATACTCCCTCCGTTCCAATTTGATAGTCTCATTTCTTTTGAGCACAAATTTTAATAAAGTGGTTGAAAAGATAAAAATTGTGGTTGAAATTTGAGTATAATAAAGTGAAATGATATAGACCACATTTTTTTTCCAAAAAGGGAAATAAGAATATCATTTTGGGACATCCCAAAAAAGAAATACATGACTATCATTTTGGGACGAGGGGAGTAGTATTTTACTAAAAATAAGTGTTTCCAATTTTTCAAAATAAATTGGTACTCGATCCCTCCGTCGCATAAAATTCTTCCTACTAATTATCTTTTGGAATGTTCCAATAAATTGTTTTCATTTTCTTTTTGGGAAGTTTTGTATGACTAATATTCTAATTTTTTAAACTACGATAATAATAGAAAAAAACACCTCATCAAAATATGAAGCGGGTAGTGGGAGGTACTACACTTGCGGCTAGCCACACAGGCTTAAATAAAAACATACGGAGTAATACATAATTAAATAATATTTACACGCATAGACACGAACATACATGTATATGCAAAAAAAAAATCATAAATATATACAAGAAATTTGTTACATTAATAATAAATGATTTTTAAATTTTGTTACATTAATAGTAAATGATTTTAAATTTTGTTACATTAATAAGAAATTTGTATACACACACATATGTGTATATCAAAAGAAAGACTACATGACGGGTTGTGTTTTAGTTCCATCTCAGAGCTCTCCTTTTTAATAAGAATCAAACTAATATTATTAAATATGGTATGCGACAAACTCTGAGTACTATGAATATAAATGTATGATTTAATTAACTTTCTGATTTATTTAATGATTTCTACATGTACTTTTACCCAATCCTAAACAGAAATAAGACACGATTTAATTCATTAAATAGTTATTTCTACCTACTATAAAACTTAAAAGAAAAAATCAATTCTGATCTTTTATTGTCCTCCATCCGAAACCACCTAAATTAAACCAAGTCCCTAGCGTGTAGTTAGGTCTAGGTTGGGACTTGTAGAGCCGTGCGCCCGTGCTATATATATAGCAATGCAGTGGGAGGTTTTCTTCATACACTCTTCAAATAGACAAACTACAAAATGCATAAAGAAAAACATCACATATGAGGATCATCATAATAATCATCCTAGACCTTGCATGTTGATATGAGAATAATGTGAGATGCAGCCAAGGATGATTTGCCGATAGAATGAGAAAAACAATTGTGGCTTTTACGCATTATTAGAGTGCCCGTATATTGTTTTGATCGATCGGCGAGTCGTCCTTGGCTACATTTCGATCTCATATTCGCATGTTAGATCTATGATGATTTGGAAAATGGTCGAGAATGATGTTTACCAGCTACATTTCCTATATAAGACATGATGTCTTCTCTACAACTCTACTTGCTTATGTATAAATGGGTCGATGGATCGGCGAGGCGTTCTTGGCCGCGCACATTTCGATCTCATTTCTGCATGTTAGATCTATGAGGATCTGGAAAATGGTAAGGAATGATGTTTATCAACTTCAAACTCATGAACAAACTACTTTCAGAAAAAGGTTAAGAAGACTGTAAGATCATCCTATATACATGTATCTCACATTGTAATTAAATACAATTTTGTCCAAAATATATATTCACTGGGTAATATTAATAGGAAATGAGGTCTTCCCTCCCTGCTTAAGGCTTCATAAGTATCTGCCACCATCTCATTAGTTAAAAAATGTAGCAGACAATTTTTTTAGTTAAAAAAATGTTTACTACGTATATGTTCCATGTGTTACCATTGTGGTGCTTTAAGTTTTGTGAATATGGGATGGTATTGCTTCAATCTTTGAAGCATAAGCATCTTAATCATCATTAGGAGAACATTTGCAAACCTGCATTAGATTTGTCTACTGAACTTGGTTTCAATTCATTTCTGCAACAATTGTGATTGGTTACTCTCTTATGAAGGGATCGTTTAGTCATTTGATACGTGTTATTTGAAAGAAAAAGTGTTTGTTAACGTCCATTTCAACCAAATTAGTCAATGATTAGTTCTCCTAATTCCGATTATTCATTTTCTGTTTGTTCAACAACAGAATAAGCCACTTTTAGCTATCAAACAATGCCTTATAGTTTTATTTTCATATGTTAATCTTCATTGTTGGCGAAGTTTTTTTTTGTATCATTGCTACAATGTCTATGGCTACTGTTACACTTACACCACTCTTACAACTGTATTCTTAATTTATGTGAAACTCAATTTGGGCTTGTAAAAGTGAAAAGTATAGAAGGCAAAATATATAAAAAGTTGGAAAGTATAGATGAAAAAATTAGAGCAAGTAATAAACATCCTCTTCAAATGAGAGTATCAAGTAAAACTGAACTGATAGAATGCAACATTTTTATTCACATGATTAAAGTGTTTCAGCAGAAATACAAAAACAAAGAATTGTAAGAGAAAAGATAACCTAATCAAGCAAAAGAATTTGCCAGCAAACCTATTGAAATTCTGAAACAATGGTTACATTATCTAAAAGGATTTACTTTTGTTCACGAACGGCCATCAAGCTTCAGAAGACACTTCAATGCTTGTTTCTTCATTACCTTTCCATATAACCCTCTCCAGAGCTTCAATGCCCTCCGATCCATATCCAAAACCTCACAACCCCCACCATGGCCATTGATGTTTCTCTTCTGTCCTCCAAACCCTGCTGCCTTCACAATCCTCTCGTCACACCCCACAGCACTCACCAGGCTATCCACCAAAGTCTCGTTTGGTGGAATCTTGCATCCCCACTTCTTCCTCAACTTCTCTGATTCAAGAACTTCAGAATAAGCTCCCCAAAATGATGCCCTCAAATACCCTCTCACCCTTCCCCTAACCATCCATCTCCTCATCCCATCCTCCAATCTGTAAACCAATTCTCCCATATCTAATCCTTTTTTCAATAACACTTCAATCACTTGCAATTCTTGGTTCGAATACAAAACACTCTCTACTGTGCACCTTTTGCATTTGCAAACAAACCCCCAGCCTTTGGACTTCACTTCTCGGGAACTAAAGGGTGAAAGTACATCAAAGTAGGCAAATGTGAGCTCCTCTCCTGTCTTTATGTCTCTAGAAGCATGAACTAAGACGTGTTCACCCACGTGGAAACGTCTTGTATTTGGTTCACAAGAATGATTTATGAAAGATGTTAATAGCCATAGGCCAATCCCATGGTAGTGATAATTTTTACCCAAAACCTTGGCAGAAATTGTTTGTTCAACTAATGAGTTCACATCTAATACACTGAAAATTCTTTCCATATCAAGATTCTGGCCTGGAAATCTACTATACCCAGTTTCCGGTCTGAATAGGTTAAGGTCGGGGACATCAAGAGAATGTTCATTCTCACCTGTGGACAGAGTACTTAACAGATCACGGATTCGGTTACATTTTGAGGCTAACTGAAGAACTTTATCAGTGAAATTATTCCAGTTCACTAGTTGGGATTTTTCAAGGTTTTGGGACATTATTCCCCTCTCAATAGCAACAGCCCTAGTGACCAGAAACAAAGTCCCACACTCGACATCCTTGGTTGCAAACAAGCCACGCCCACTAATCTCGGATTTCTTGATCTCTACTGGCCCTAAATACTCTGCAAGATCAGGAACCCCATCGAGATTTAAGATCCAATTCGAGAGATCAAATCCGCCAGTTTTTGACAAACCCTCTAGCTTCTTACATTTCTCTAGGAATCCGTTGAGGATTTCGCCGTTCTCGGCATCATGAACACCGAGATTGGCTTCCCTGAAGCAACCTAAGGCTAACGTATACCTGTCAAGGGAGAGAAAGATCTTACCTTTACAGAGCAGTGCCTTGAAATTGGGGTTCTCGATCCTCAACGCCTCGTCGCAATCTTGCAAGGCGGATTGGAATTGGCGGAGGCGGAAGTGGGACTCAGCCCGATTGCAGAGAGCTACGCAGAGGGATTTACTGAGCTTGGAAAGGCGGTCGGAGCTAGGGTTTAGATGGAGTCTGGAGATATGGGAATTGCAGAGAGAAATGAACTGAGAATATACATGGATGCATTCGGTCCATTCTTCTCCGAGTAGATGCTTCGTAGCTTTTGATCTCAGTTGCCGCATTATTTCTGCTTCTTCGTCTTCTTCATCTTCTTCCCAGATCTCTGCTTGAAATTCTGCTTCTCCCATTTCTGCTCTTTCTCGTCTGCGTGAGTTCTTGATTTTGGGACGATCCAAGTAATGTTCATTTAATGTCCCGTTCTGTTGCAAGTTCTAACGGCTAATACAAAGTACGGAGTATTTCTTTTATTTGCATCCACTTTAACATGTTCCTTTAATTTGATCTTACTTTAATTTTATTTTATTTTCTAATCTCACTTAAATATGACGCTCAACAAATAAACAAATACATTTTTTTTTCAAAAAAATAAATAAATAACAACTAAACAGATACATTTATTTTGTAAATTTTTTAATCACATTCTAATAAATCATGTGCTTATCGATTAAACAAAAAATTTAGTCAAAATATCTATGTTTTGTGTTTTTGAACCATTTGTATATTGTACTTTTTCAAATATTGTTACTGTTTTGTTATATATGTAATTCTATATTCTGATTTTATAATTATCATTTCTTTATTTAATTTTTTGAATCAATTGTCTATTTTGACTTGCTAAATATTTGGTCTTTTTTCATGAATTTTACTAAATTTAATTCAAAAGGCAAAAATATGAATTATTTTAATTTTTTCAAAACAGTGACATATTTAATGACTCGTTTCCAGTAACTCGTCATCTACCTGTGACTTGTCACTCTGAAATATACTATAGTGACTCTTATCCAGTTACTCGTACAATGAATAGTCGTATTTTTGTCCAAAAAACATAACCAGTGCTAGGTAATATTTTTGTTCGGAGAAGCTCTATTAGTAATATACATGTCATTTTTACTAAATATATTTACATTTATATTTGCACATTTTTAAAAATTATATGATGGTTAACAAAATGGGGTTTTGACATGAATATTACTGCAAAGTGGATAATGAATAAAAACGAGACATTTTAAATAAAACCAAAATTGACCAAAAATATTAAACTTACTAAATTATCCGTAATCTCTAGTGACTTTATCTCGTACTTTTTCAAATATTTTTACTGTTTTGTTATATGTGTTGAAGTTTATTTCTTTTAACCCGTAGACCCAACACGTAACCTAAGGGTCTCGAGTGGATGATGGACAAGTGAGATGAAGAGCAAACAAGGAAAAGGCCCAATAATGAGTGTTTAGGATGTTTTTACTTGGACTGTAATTTGCTGGTCTGATTTGGTCTGGTCTGGTATGGTCTGGTCTGAACTGGTCTGGTCTGGTTTCTTTGTATTTTTATAACTATCCAAGTCTGGTCTGGTCTGGTCTGGGACGAATTACAGTCCAAGTAAAAACATCCTTATACACCGGAAACGATTACAAAGCCGAAGGGCCATTTGTATAGTGTTATGCTATGTGCTGATACAAATGCTAGAGTGCTAGAGTACTAAATTGTGAACCCTTTACAGTGAAATAAATGTTACTATTTATACTGCTAATGGGTGGTTGGATATGTCGGCGTGGCTGGCTGTGGGCGGCATGATCCAACCACCAAATCTTCTGCATTAAATGCGCTTCCCGTCAGGATCTTGGTTTCCCGCCATGGGGAGGTGACGTTCGTCCCCAAGGCCCTGGCTCATGTTTCCCCTGCCAAAGGATGGGGACGTTCGTCCCCAAGCACTTGAGTTATCCTTGATCTGTTCTTTGAGCTAGCCTTTGCCTCCTATCAAGGGTTGGGGACGTTCGTCCCTACGTACCCTGCAAGAGTCTTGGGCCTGGATACCTGCTAACCGTGGGGTAGGTGCGTCCCCTGAGACTTATCTCCCTGTTGGGGGTGGACCTCCTCCCGAACCAATGGCAGGTATCCCCTCCGCTTGGGCTTCCAACAGGACGTTCGTAGGGAATTCTCGTGGGCCTTCTGAGGATGTTCTTCGGAAAGCCCCCATTCATTGTTGGGCCATTAACCTAACACAAGCCCCCCACTTCTGATGTTCCGAGCGTGCTCGGGACATAAGGAAGTAGAAATGCTCCTGACGTACCGCCCTAACGATGTCCCTGATGTGACAGTTGCTTTTCCGGCTGCTTTTCACAGGGCTCTAGGTGACGGTTATGCGGGCCGGTTCAACATCCGATGAAAGTGTAATCATTGCGTGCATGTCCGTCTCCGCGCGACACGTGTCCATGGGTACGCTCCTCACCACGCGTCGTACATGGATTGGATAGGGGTAATGCGCCCCTCCCTTTAAATATTGGGCCTTCCATGTGGATTAGGGCTTTCACCTTGGTGCCTTGTTCGCTATTGCTTTCAAAGTTCTTCTGCAAGTATTCTCCGGTTCCTCGATCCGCTCTTCGAAGTTCATGAGGTAATTGAACTCACTCTCTTTCTCTCCTCTGCTTCATCTTTCAATATGGTCTGTTCTATGGAGATATCTTCTGAGTCAAGTTCCGGGTCGGGATCTTCTTCCGACTCGTCTTCTGGTTCGGGCTCCAGTTCCCGTTCCTCGGGGGAGGTGAGTACTTCCGGCCACTTTGGTACCTCCGCCGTGGTGGGACAGGTTGTGGTGGATATGGCTGTCCCTGGTGATGTGGGAGCAGAAGTTGTTATGGATATCACCCCGGGGGTGATCGGATGGCGGCGGCCTAAGCAAACGTCCGAATTGGGCTAAATTATCATTCATTGTTATCATTACGTAACTTATTATTATGGTTTGTATATTATATCATTATTATTCTATAACTATTCAGCCGTTTCAAATGTTTTAAAAAACTCCGGTCGTTGGTCTTCTAGACTCGTGTGTCTGATAATGTTGTGCTTAGGCTTTATTCATTACTATTAGGTCTATTATACGTAGAATATGTTACATGCATGATGCATGTGTATATATAGATATGTAAGGAAAAGATAATTAATAAAGATTTGAGTGGATCACTTTTAAGTCATAAGTAAAGGCATGAGCCATAATTATGCATTATGTATAATTAGTGTATAAATATGTCATTTTTTTCCATGTTATATTTTTTCCTAATTCACAAATTAACTATTTTCTTTTATTTAAATTTCAGAGTGTCACAATCTACCCTCCTTAAAAGAGAAGAGGTTACCCTCCTCGTTCCGAAGCATAAACTAAAATCAAATGACAAAATTCTTAAGTATTAAATTCTACCTTCCTTAAAGAGAAGAGGTTATGCCCTCGTAACTAAAATATTACCTTAGTCAAATAACTCAGGGTAGCGTTTGCGCATACCGACCTTGCTCTCCCAAGTGGTGGTTGGTCAAAGGGTTTGACCATATCGCCTTCATCTTTTTGGTTGTTTAACTTCTAGTGTCACAAGTTTTCTTTTTCAAATACTAAGTTATTCAAAAGGCTCCTCTTATCTTAAGGATAGGGAAAAATACCCCAATAATACTAAAACATGAGACTATTCCCAAAATATGATCAGGTGTGTTTTTTAATCAACCGTATGACTAAAAAACGCATGCCATACATCGGCCCATGCACGAAAGCATTTAAAAAACCGGAATTGCCCTTCAAATAAGTCAAAAGCCTTGAAACGGAAAAGAAACCAACGAGAAACGTGCGCCGTATACTGGGCTTCTGAAATGGGTATTCCGTATTAACCGCCTTCGGTACGTAGAATGTAATGCCGGAAGAATTCAATTAGAAGTGTGAAGCGAGAGCCGCCGTTTAACGAAGCCAACATGACGAAGACGACTCCCAAACGAGGAAGAAGAGCAGTGAAGAAGGCGGAGAAATGACAACAACCGGCAGCAGAGGAGGCGACTCAATCGCATGTGTTTACTGTCCATGGAATTGTAAGTTTTTTCTGTATTAAAGATTTTTATAATTTGAAACCTGAAATAGAAAGGTGCTGTGAAATTAGGGCAGTAAGATTGTTAGTAATGTTTGCTTGGGGGGACGGTGTTGTTGTTTGGGCATTATTTGAATGGAGCTAAAGGAGTCTGAGGGTGATGGATGCCGGAAAGCAATTTTTTAGAAATAGATGATGGGCAGGACATTAGATTGAGGGTAGTAAACAATGTGTATTTAGTGCATTAGTTGACCAATGTATAGTTAGGGCAGTAATATTTTTAAGGAAAGGCGTAAGGTGTTTGGGCATTAATTGAATTGAATGAAAGGTGTTTGATGTAGAATATATGCATTGAAGTAATATGATTTGTTGCAGAGATGCCCAAATTTAGTGCAGTAATTTGTTTATGTACTATTAGGGCAGAAATTTATGCAGGCCGGAATGTTGTGATGTTGCATGTTTTTGGGCAGTACTTGTTTGGTATTAGATGTGTTGAAGGTGATTCTTGTTTATGGGCATTAAGTGTATGTGAGGAGAGGTGTTTGAGTTATAGTTGATGAAGGACAGTAGTATTTTGCTGATAGATATTCTATCTTTGGGTGGCAATAGAGAAGGGTAGTGAGTGTGTTGAATAGGGCAGTAATGGTGTTAATTGGAAAATAGAATACACCATTTACATGAATTGATTAGCGCAATAATATTACATCTTCTATGCTCACTTAAAAAGAGAAGGTGGAATAAAAAAATGCAGGGGACTTCACACCATTTACGAACCAATAATGACCATTGAAATCAGTTTATAGCAAAATATTAATCCCATTTGACATGAATGTTACTCCATACATACATACATACACCGTTGGAACATGTACTACATTTGGACAGTAATGTAGGACAATAATGTAATTTTTCCAAGGGACGTACTATGAAATTTTGTATGAAACTATTATTATCGTATATTGCAGGAGTATGTGAAGACAACTGAGTGTGATAACTTTGTGCTGGAAAAATCTATGAAAATAAATTCTTATTGTAATACAGTAAAGGAAGTGGAGAGTATAAGGACCTATTTAAATGAGGATGAGCTCAAAGAATTCAGGAAATTAGTGTTCGGTTATATACTTGACTTGGGAAACATACCCTGGGTAAATGGGCAATTGTTAATCGTACTCTGCGCCAATCATGTCGAGCGATTGAATACAGAGAATGACAAAACAAAGCTGTAATTTTTGATTGGTAACAAAGTTGCATCTTTTACAAAAAGGGAAATGGATTTAATTACCGAGTTCCCGTTTGGTACATATAAGGCAATAACATCCAGTAAAGCTCCAGGCGATTTATGGAGAAGATACTTCTCTGGAATGAAAAAAGTTGCACGAAGAGACATTAAAAATGTTTTTGAATCAGGGAAATCAAGAGAGAGTGGAGCAGAGGCAATGGACGCGGTAAAGCTTGGTTTATTGCATGTCCTAGGTAGTTATATTCTAGGAAATCAATCATCAATAAATCTCCCATAGATGTACATTAATTTGGTAGATGATATCGAAAAGTTCAACAAATATCCATGGGGTGATGTTGTGTGGGATGATCTACATGAACAAGTAAGGAAATGTGCAGGTGTTTTTTACCAGGAGCAGTCTGCAAGATTTACATTTCCAGGATATATATTTGCTCTGCAGATCTAGGCATATGAGACTTTCCCGTGCCTTGAAAACGCAAAAGTTTGTGTGAGGAGGGAGAGAGCAAATATGTGGCCTAGGACACTGCAATGGGCAGCCCCTGCTAGGCCGTCACAACAAATTGTTGAGGATGTGATATTTAATAATGACCAGGTGGGAAAAGTAAATAATTGAATGTAAGTGTTGTATTTTTCATATTGGGTAATATAATAATATTTTTATAATTATATGTGCAGGTAGAATGGGAAGAAATGAAACCCACTGAAAAAGAGCTAAAGATGGACTCAGTTATTAAAGCATTGACAAGCAATGTTAATGAAGTTGATGTGAATGAGGGAAATGATAGTGACGATTTCAAAGACCGGGGATGTAGTAGAATGATGGCCAAGGCAGTAATGACACGCAGTAATGTAGTACAAAAAAGGCAGGCTTCGCAAAAAGGGAAAGCAAACAGGAAAAAGAAGTCCGGAAATGAAGAGAAGGAAGATAAAAAAGCTAGTAGAGGCAGCCATTGTATTACAAGGAAAAAGATTAAAAAAGCTAGAATCTAAGGTGGATAAGCTGTGTGAATTGCAAATGAAACAATCCAGCATGTTGACGAAGGTTTTAGCTAGTAGAGGCATGATGTGGAAGCGTAAAAAGATGAAGAAAATATCCAAGAAAGCAGCAATGAAAGATAAGGAAGACATGCCAAGTTTTGACTTGGGTATGGAGTTTAAAGAACATGTAGTAGAGGACAATGAGCAAGGTAATGAGCATGATGAAGTTGAGGAGTTAGTCAGTGAGAGAGCAGAGACGGTTGATGAGATGGTGGAAGATGATGTGCAAATGACACAAGATGACATGTTCAAGGAAGTAGATGGATTAATGAACACTGAGCAGCTACTTAAGGAGGTGGAATTGATTGAAAAGAATATGATGACTGGTGAGACAGAGAAAGAAGAGCATGTTGATATTCAGATCTTTGAAGATATAGGAATGCTGGATACGCAGTTGCTATGTGCGGAGGTAGATGTGATTTTTGAGAAATACATGGGCAATATGGAGGCTCAACATGGCAGTGAAAAAGGAAGTGAAAAGGTAAGTGTTGTTTAGAGTGATTGTGTTAGTAACTGGTTATATAATTGTGAATATTTTGTGCAGGTTAAAGTGAGTGAAGATATTGATAATGCCTGCAAGGACACTAACACAACAAATTATGCTGAGCTAAACATGGAAAGTATTTGATCATATTACAAAGGACTGGATACATGAATTTTGATGTTTTTTTAAAGTAACCCCATTATTATTATTATTATTATTTACTTTTTTTTTTGCTTCTCACAACATACTTCGACAACACATGGACCTTATTCACATCCAAATATTGACTACACTCCCACCTTTTAATTGAAAAATACTTTAGATGCCATAGGTTTTGTTGTTATTCCTTAAAGGCCATAGTCAGTACTACCTTAATTTTAAAATTGACTAAACTTGTTCTTACCCGATGCAATGCTTCTATAATGCCTTATACTGCCCAAAATATTTAAGTAACACCAATGCCTATGTAATGCTTATAATGTCCATAGTTTTAGTAAACTAGATTAATGCTCTCGATTCTGGACATTGACACTTCAACAAAACTCAACAAATTTAATTTTAATACGTGTTAAAAACTGACTAGTTTTAAAAAAATGAGCAGTTAACCAAGGTGATAGGGAAATTGAGCACATACCTAGAAGAACGAAGGAGAAAGTAATCATTATCTCATTAATTAGTGCATTAAGTGATGATTGTAAGAGTTTTGATGGTCATGTAGGATAAGGAAGAGAGAAATGCTAAAGAAGCCGAAGTGGAGCAAAATGAAGATCAGAAGGGCATTGAAGACATTGACCCAGAAACAAACGAAGAAAGTCTAGAACCACTAGACTCGCAGATTGTGGTAAAATATATTTAGTTAGGCCATAATATTGCATTTAAGATAGAAGATGTAGTCTGTAAAAATGTCATGCATTCATAGTCATGCTCATAATTCAATTAATAGCATTTTTATCATAATAGTTGTTGAAAGGTTTTTGTTTTTCGATGGATCAGGTATACACAGGGGACACAACCCCGCTGGCAGTTGATGGCATGCCAAAAGGAAAGACAAAATGCCCAGATAGATTTACATTTTCTGGACCCCGAAAACAGAAAAAGAGGAGGAAACAAGAGAAGGGAAATGAGCAAGATATAGGTGATGATGTAAGGAATGTAATAATGGGACCATTTAGTCTAGATCCATCAGAAATGTCACCTGCAGAATTGCTTCAAAAAACATCAGAATTCATGCATGATGGACTACTTAAAAACCACAAAAGCAGTAAGGAGAGGAAATACAAAAGATATGATGGATTAAAGATCAAAGGCATTAAAGAAGCATTTGGGGATGCAAGCTTTGATAGGAAATCATGTTACTACACGATATATTTCCCCGAGAATTGGTTAAGCGACACGGTTAGATTATATTATTTAATAATAATTTTTTTTTCATAATTACGCATGATAATTTAGTCGTATTACTTAGAATTACAAGTAAAGGCAGTAACTCACGCACTAATAATTTTTAAATGCATTAAATTTGATTTGTCAAGCACCTGGAGGTTGGGATGCTTTTCTTAAGGATGAAAGCTGAACAATATAAGCTGCATCAGAAATTCACGACAGCAGATACTATGTTTATGCCTTTGGTAAAGCAGCATTACGACAACCACATTTCCAATGCAACGCCAGTGTCAGAAAGTGCTTTAAATAAGAATATAATGGGTGTCATCCTTGGGACACGTTTGGACTTCGGACTTTAGTGAGTTATGAATAAATGATAGATTTGTGTGATAATAAAGGACAGTACTTTTAGACAATAAAGTACTGTCCTTTAATTGTAAAACGAGAATTTGGTGACTTGTATACATGCCTTTGAATGCAGGTAATCACTGGATACTTCTAGTGCTTGACATAACTGCGAAGTGCATACGTGTGTACGATTCTAGTGTTCAACGGGTTCAAACAAACATACACCTTCACCATTACCTCCCGAGTTTGCAAATGTTTTTACCGAGACTAATGGATAAGCTAGGAGTGTACAATGAGCGTAGTGAGGGGCCTATGGGGGAGGATTTACTGCAGATTCATATGGTGAAAGAATGCCCACAACAAAACGATAGGTATGTGATTAAAGTCAATGACCAACGATGGTTTAATTAAAAATGATTAGGATTCCATGAATTGATAATTTTATATTGTTGAACAGTGACAGTTGTGGCATGTTCGTGTTAAAGATGGCTGAGTTTTTAATGATGGACAAGGATGTGGAGTACGTTAGACCAGAAGATATGAATGCATACCGCACCAAGATGACGACAAAGCTTCTAGTTCATTTTGGTGCCATAGGCGCATAGCGTTGAAAAACTAATGACCAAGATTTTTTAATTTTGCAGAGCTGGATATTATGGATATTATGCTTGCTATACATAAGATTAGTGGTTTTTGTATGTACTGGTGGTTGTAGTATGTGATGGTGGTTTTTGTATGTCCTGTTTTGTTTATTGAGCTTGAGTTTGGTTCGATAATTTTCAACAATGTAAATGACTAAGAAGTTATTTTAAGGACATTGAGGAATTAAATATGCAGGACATTGAGTATGTATAATGACATATTGTGAAATAATGACTTAAAAAATAAGGGTAGGTCAGTGGGGCATTAAATATATACTAAATAAAAGCAACTACTGAATGCTTACCGCAGCAAGATGACGACAGAGGTACTAGTTCATTTTGGTGTTATAGGAGCGTAAACTTGAAAACTAATGACGAATCTTTTTTTGAATTTAGAGTGATGGATATTACGAGAAGTGGATAAATTACATTGCAGTATTGTTTTGATTTTTAATGTTGGTTTTTTTTTAGAACATTTATCGCACAAGTTGAACTTTTAATGTTTTGTTCTTAAATGTGTATTGTTGGAGTAGACATATATTATTGCACTACTTATAGATGGACTGACTATATATATTGGTTATTGTGTGGGCAATGTGTAATGGTTGTAAATGATTGGACTGTGTGTGTGTGGGAAAAGAATTAAGTGCGACAAGTATTTTTTTTAGTGAATGGGATTAAGCTGGTATATGCAAATGTGCTGATGAAGGGTATTAGGAACGGACAGTAATATGGACAGAAATCTGAACAAGTACATATATACATTAATGCCCTCATGTATGATGAGCCTTGATGATGTGATTTTGAGATTTAATTAATGCCTTTAAGGCAGGACAATGAATAACGAAGAGCCATTAATTCTTAGCAGTTTTTTTCAAAGGTAAAGGTATGACAAATGTATGGAAATGTTCAGAAATCAAACAAGTGTATGTGATTGCATTTGCAAAAATGCTCAAATGATAACATCAAATAAAAACATTTTTTAACGCATGTGTAGCGGAATAGGATTTCTACACGTCTTTCTATTGTGTCCAACCATGAGGCAACGAGTGCATTTTTGACTCCGAACATGCTCTCCTGTAGAAGGAATTCTTCTTTTCTTCGGCCTTCCAGGAGGTCGCGATTCACATGATGGGGGGATGCAAGTGATTTGCTTATAGAATTCTGAAATGTAATCATAGCAAGAAAGTCCTGGGCGGGAGCGAATAGCTGCAACAGAATGTACACATAAGAACCCATCAAGCTGAAATTCTCGACAAGTGCACGTGCGCTCCTTCAAGTTGACAACATAAGAGCGGGATCTCTTATCAAACACCTCAAACTCAAAAGCACATGATGGTTTGAACTGCGCAATGTGTGATTAAACATATAAAACTATAATTAAATATTAAGTACAGTAAAAGTAATTGAATAATGCATAACGTTGGGATGTATTTTAAATAACTAGTGCAAAAGAAGACAAAGAGTAGAGGGCAATACTGTCATGACGGCCGCCATAGCTTGTAAAACAGTTAGTTAAGATTTAAAGTGTGCAGATAAATGAAAATTGTTTGAAGCTGAAGAGTCTCGCCGTTCACAAAACCATTTTTGCATTCGTGCAACAATAAACTCTATCAACTTACATATTGGGTATTCTCGGGCAGTGGCATTAACTGCATTTAATGACTCCGCGTTGTTTGACATCATAACCGAGTACCGATTTCGACTAGCATAAGCACGAGACCATTTGTCATGGCCCATCCGCTCTAAATACGTACGAATGCGTGGATCCTTACTATCAAGCATTTGAAGGTACTCTTCACACTCGTACACAGTTCCAACACGAGCAGCCTGCAAAAACTTCCATGTTACAGTTTTTTGCGTGCCACGAAATCTTGTTTTCAAACTAGCCAATATGTGGTAAACACAGTAACCATGTTGCGCATGAGGAAATACAGAACGCACGGAACTACTAATGCCCTCGTGCCGATCAAACACAATATATAGATCATCCCTATGCATCAGCGAATGTTTCAACATGCTGAAGAACCATGACCAATTTTCAGTATTTTCTCCACTACAAATACCGAATGCCAATGGAAATATTTGTTTGTTTGCATCTTGTGTACATGCAGTGAGTAATGTACCCTTATAATACGACTTCAAAAGAGACCCATCCACAATTATAACCGGAATGCAATGAATCCAACCTTCCCTTCATGCAGAAAGGCACATGAAAAAATAATTAAATTCGCCATTTTCCTTGCACGAATAAGAAACAATAGAACCTGGGTTACTCCTTTCAAGCACATGACACATTGAAGGTAAGCGTGCATATGAATCCTTTTCAGATCCCATAGCCAGTTCCATTGCCAATTTTTTGGCAATCCATGCTTTTTTGTATGACATGTTGTGACACTTCAAAAATTTAAATAAAAATAAAAATAATTTTTATTAGTCAAATAAAATATTACGAAAATAATATTTTTATAATTAATTGAGTCAGACAAAAATTCAACAATGGTAACGTTCTAATCAGATAAAAATTTCAAAATTTATGACGTTTTAGTCAGATAAAAATATTTCAGTAATAAGAACAACATTTTATTAAACAAGTGAACCAGACAGAAAACTTACATTTGCAACATTTTAGTCAGATAAAAATGGTCCGATAATAGATGTAACGTATAAAAATAATTTTATGTATAACTTTTTAAGTTGTATTATTCAAAATTAAAATAATACGGAGGGACTGTACAATAATACATACGTATAATTTTTATACGTATAAATTATTAGCAAACAATATAAAAATTTAGTGTTTTAAATAAACTAAACTAACTACGTACGTATAGAATAAATATACTTCTAATATATACTATAAAGGTGCAAAAGAATCAAAATCCAGCTCCAACTCAACCTACATACGAACCAAAGTCGTATGGGCAGCTTATTTTCTTTTCTTGGCCGGCAAACCAACGGAACCAAAGTCGGGCGGAAGAAGCTGTTTTAAAATCAAACTCTAACACAGCCTGAGGCCTCAACCTATACCTATAAATAATAGCCTAGGACCTGCGTTTTCTTCATCCCTAACTTGCGTTTTATTCATACAAGAAACAGCCCCATATATATACATATATACGTATATGGATATACCAGAATTTTCGACCCTTCTTTTTAGCCAGAACCAAACCCTGAAAACACTCTAGAAACCTTCCCCATCGTGAGATGAATCCAACGGAGAAAGAATCGTGGAAAACGGACGTCGGAGTAGGGAGATACAGCTCGCCGGAGTTTCGCCGGGGAAAAAACCTTCACGACGGAAACGGAGGAGAAGGGACTGCCACCGCCGCCGCCGAACCATCACGGACCTTCGCCGTCCCCAAACGAGCCTGCTAGCACCGCCGTTACGCCGTCCGACGAGGTAAGCCCCTTCTCCCATTTTTTTGGCCGTTTTCCGGCGATCTGGGGAAGAAGACGACCCAGCAATTGCTGGGGTCTGTTTTTGGGCCTTTTTCATGTTGGGCCAGAAAAATTAAATTTGGGCCAATTCGGCCCAGTTGCACTAAAAATTAAAAATAAAATAGTAAATAAAATAAATAAAATCTGGAAAAACATAAATTAAACACCTGGTATAAATATACATATTCGGACCAACCAGAATTGAAAGATAATATTTTTAGCTATTTTTAATTGATTTAATTGTAATTGGGCCAATTTGTATACATTTAGTAAATAATTAACTAATTGACGAAAATAATTATGAAATAAATATTGGAGTAAACTAGGATAAATATATGACTAACTAGGACCTTATGGACCATTTATAATTAATAAATATTAAGATTTAGTATATTTAATTGTAATTGAACCGGTTAATAGATATATGAAATTAAATGAATAATTATGGAAAATAATTATAAAATAGATATCTGGACAACATAGGTCAAATATAGACCCAAAATATAGTTATAGACGGTTATTAATTTATAAAGTCGATCCTTAGTCTATTTAATTTAATTGGGCCATATAAAACTAGTTAAGTAATTAAATAAGGAAATATTCATATTAATGGTGAAATAAACAAATCACTGAGATTGAAAATAATATTCTGGACTAAAAATGATGTTTGTAATAAAATAAGGAAAATAAAATAAGGTTGGGTTAGCTAGCATAAATAATTGACTATATGTAGACTTAATAAACAACTTAATTATGTAATTAGTGGACTAATTCAATTAATAATTTTTATGATTGATTATTAGATATTCGGACTTCATATAAATATTTAAAATATTTGAACTCATAAATTAATGGGTTAATATAAATAAAGTAATCAAATAATAATTTATGAGTAGAGTAAATTAATGGTGATTATTGAAGAAAAATTGGATGTTGTAGTTAATTATATTCGGATATTTTATTTAATATTAGAATTCAAATATTGTAATTAATGGCTGAAATAATAAGGTAATTTGATTAATAAAAAGTGATTAATCAAATAAATTCGAATAAACTAAGTTAATAAAATAAAGTAATTACAAATAGAATAAGTGACTAATTTATCATATTTCATTAAAAAGGTGATTATCTAGAGACCGGATTAGAGGAGGATAACTAGGAGCATCAGGACTTAAGGTAAGTTTCTCTGCCAATCCAAAATTGTTTCCTCGTATTATATGCTTATTATGCATTATGTGATTAAGTGTGAATTTTGAATTATGTGCATGTGATTTTGAGGAGATATTATATATATGGTAGTTGAGAAATATAAATTAAGTACTTTTTGGGGTATTAAATATTTTATATACCTTCGAGACTTTTAGAGAAATTAAGAAGTATTTTTGAAGTATTGTTAAGCGAAGATAAAATTTACATTTTCATAAGAAGTGAGCATCTCGAGAGTAACCCGAGATGTCGGTTTTCCACATCCGGATAAATGTGGAGGGTGATTAGAGCTACTACTACTAAGAAGTACAGTTTAAGTTTCAAGTGAGATTTGGATCTATGATCCCTTTTAAGAAGAAGTTATAGTAGTAGTCCCTAATCATTCAAGAATTTTAGAGGTGGGGTGGTTGGGTTCCGACCACTCGGGATGACTAACTACTCGGAGGGCTTGGAATCCCTTTTAGGGGGTGTGCACACTTAAGGTAGTCGTTTCGTTTCCGCAAGAGCAGTTGTGGTACCGGCACTTGTTCGGGGTGGCCGTCCGTAACCACGGTCCACCGGGCTCAGTCGAAAGGTTGAGCACCGCCCTTCTAAATTACTAGGAAGTTAGAGAAGAAGTGATTTTCTTAAGAAGTTTAAAGAGAATAATTACTAAGAGATTTTCCAAGAGAAGTTTAAGATTTTAGCAAAGAAGTGATTCTAAGAAAAATCAAAGAGAAAAGTATTTTGGTGGAGTGCGTCATTTTTATATGATATTATATAAAAATCTATTTTCGTCAAACCTGATTATTTTACGGGGTTGGGTAGTACTTACTTAGCTCTAAAACTAATTTTTGTTATTTCTCTTGTCTCTCTCTTCTCCCATAAATTTTATCAGGTGATGAGTTGGATGCCTATGTGGATTGATGGATTGCTCGAGCTTGAGTGCGAATTAGAAGATGCCTTAGTTAAATCTAGTCATGAAATAAACATTTACTTATTATTACATTAGTTTTTATTGTTTTACTTTGAGTTGCCTGTGCATTCGGTTAAGAGATGACCCAATGTGGCGGTAACACCCATTTCCCCTTTTAGACTTCCGCTGTATTTCTTCAACTCTTTGATGAATGAATAGAGTATGTCTTTTAAATATATCATTGTTTTGGGTGGGAAATTTGGGGGTGTTACACATGTAAATGCCGTATTTTGTCTGCATATCAAGCATAATTGATTTCGGAGGGTATGACTTATTGGATGCATCACCGTACTCATGTTTGATAAGTTCGGCAATAATCCTAGACGTAGCCTGACGGCTATTTCGTTGACGTGCATCAATTAGGCATGTGTGCTCAGAGTCAAATATGTGAAAAAATGGATAATGAAAGGAATTATCTTTTGGAAAAAAGTGAATGCATTTGTTATAGAAAATAAAAAATGTATGATGCCATACAAAACAGTAGCAATTAAAAAATATTTTGGCAATATACACTATTAAATTAAAGTGAGGAGAGGACATTAAAAGTGAAGAAATAGCAGTACACATAGGGCAGTGGTAAAATGAGATTCTTTAACATGCAAACAAAATGTAATGCAAGACGCGGGGCATTAAAACAAGAGCACACGGGGCATTAAAATATATACACAAATAAAAATACTGATTTTAATTTCCAAATTAATTTTTTTACACTAAAAACCAGTAACACCATACACATAGGACAGTAGAAAAATTAAATAAGAGATACGTTAACATGCACACAAAAAATATGGAAAAAAGCAAGGCATTATAACATTTGCACAAAGGGCATTAAAGTATATGTGAGTAAGGGTATTACAATAGTGCTAACATAATTAAGACATACATTTACATGCAAACAAAGATTAAGACAAAAGTAAGGGCATTATAACAGTTGCACAGAGGGCATTAAAAATATATGCACAAATGTTATACTGATTTTATTTTACTAAAATCATTTTTTTAAAAACAAAAAAAGAGCACCAATACAAGACAGTCATAGGACATTAAATTTAAATGTCGTTGGAAATGCACAATCACTTGTATTAAAAAAATATTACATAGGCCGTAGGGCAGTAATAAACACGCT